CTTCTTATGATGCAAACACAGGTATTCAGGATCATCAACATGAGCTTCGTTGATACATCCGAGAGTTCGAGTTAGCTATGGTGAGCCTCCTTGCTTTTAGAGGATATCATTTACCTTTCAGTTATATCAGTTGCTAGGATGTCGTGGGTCTTGTCCCGACTTCCATCTTTATCAGTTAGAGGCTTCATAGATAGTCAGTATAGTTGAGAAGTCTGTATCATTTATTTTATTAAATGTTTTAAAGACTAAAGTTGCCTTTTTATGGCGAGTTGTATATATTTTATTATACAGAGTTTTCTTTGGACTTAAAGTTTGTATTTAAGTTTTATGAACTTTTATTTCAATTTTTAAGCTTTGTGTGCTTGAATCAGTTTTCCGCTTGTAGTCAGCCAGGATGAGGGTTCGCTTGGGGACCAGCAATGGTCTTCGAGTGCCGGCCACGTCCAGGGTGTAGGCTCGGGTTGTGACAGCTTGTCTCGCATGCCCTTCTTACCGAATCTCATTACCCCATAAGGGTTTCACATCTCCAACCTCAAACCAACCAATTGAATACCTACACATCCTCCCTTACAATGCCTCAATGAAGTCATCTCAACACTCGAGTGATAAATATTGTTGTATGTAAACTTAACTAATAAACAAAACGAATTCCAACAACCACCAAAGTTGATCGTACAGACGTCTGCCACATGTTATTAAGGATCTTGACACAATCATCAGGACTAATCCCTTCTCAAATAAGCATGATAACACTCTAAATCAAATACTCACTACAATTAGAAGTGAACCTGAACAAACCAACACACATTCATAATACCCAAACAATCACAGTTCTTAACAACATCTCCATCCCACAACATAAATTCCCATGAGCTTAAGTTATAACAATTTTGATCTTTAGAAATTAGATACTCATCGAGGGATATGTCCAAGCATACAACCCCTCCAACAACACTATCGAAATGCTAGATTTAGTAATTGTAGATTACCTCTTAAGATTAGTAGAATTGGACCCAATGATCCCCACATTCAACCACACATAATCGATACATGGCCTCGACAACTAGAGATATATTAACATTGTCGGACAACCACAAATATGCATGGTAGCTCTTCTGTAAATTCTCATAAGCAAGGTGGTACATGTAGAACCACTAAAATACTTTAACAAATCCAAGACAACACCAATTATGTCATTCGAAATAACCACATCTTCCCAATCTTCCCACTCAACCAAGAGAATATCGCAGGAATTGGTACCCCTGATCCACCATTAGGGATCCACCCACAAAAGTGAAAACACACGAGCGCATAGCTATTGAATCATACTCATAATACTAACAACCATCATAAACAATCCGACCATTTACCTTATTATAAACCAACACTTTTTAAATGAAAACCTTTCTTAGGTACTTTAACAATCAATAGTAGTAAACTTACGACTCAACCCAAGTGTAAGTCCTTTCAAATGCTCAAATTGAATACAATTGATCATTTCTCACCTTGCCAATTCATACCTTGACAAAATACATCACCACGAATGTAGACTCACAATGAAAAATCTAAATTGTAATTTCCACCAGATAACACAATCCCTTTCTCTATCAACATTAGCTTGTACCTTGAAGATTTTTATGAATTCATGGATCTCCGTTTATCATTGATTGCATATCCATCGATCTTACCATATATTTTGCTAAAATTTCAATCATACTCATTACTAGACTCAAAAACAAAACCAAGCACTTGTTTTCACACTCAAGCTAATGTCCGCACACTCATTTCTTAAGTCTTTTCCAATGCTTTTTAACCAATCTGACGAACTTGTAACACTATTACAATAGCCACAACAAAACGAATGAAATCACGCATCTCTGAACCCAATTATCTACCCCTATGAAGATATCTCTTTAGCCTTTGCAATCAAATAAAATATTCTTCCTCTCGCCTCCCTCTAAAGGTTGTAATACATCCAACTATATTTCTTCATCATGACCCTAGATCCTTTAAATTCTATTCGAGTGGTGTCCCACCATCTCTTAAAACTTTCCATACAACCACATTACTCACCAAGTATTAGGAAACCACAACCTTAGGTGCTCGCAAGTCGTAATTACTATACAAAATTCGCTTAATCAATAATCTCATTATATAGTTGCATCCCATCATAATCTATCACGAACTCTTATTACTATTACGCTCAATTAGCCTTGACTATCACTATGAAGTCAACCGTTTCATCAACATGACACCTAAAACTCAAGTATACTCATCAAATTTAAAGGATTAACCTAATCTTGTTACATACTTTCTTACTAAAATCTTCAATTTCCTTCACCCAAGTATACTCAAGGGAACTTTCTTTATCGGTAAGCTTGACATTCTGGTATTAATCCACTCCCTTATAGGTTAAGATAAAATCATCAATCATCATACTACCCTTCTTCTACTTAACAAACAAGACAGGAGCACCCCACGGGGAAGCACTAGGACCGATGAAACCTTTATCAAGAAGCTCTTAGATTTGAGCTTTTAGCTCTCTCAATTTTGACACCACCGTAATAGAATCAGTAGAGGGGGATTCAACCTCAACATCCTGAACATGAGCCAATAAGCCAACAATCATGCCCCACCAGTTTCCTTGCCTGAATGGAGGATATGATTTTAGCTAGCTTAGTATTGTACACCCCTTCTCACTCTAATCTTTCCCTATCAGGGATCTCTAGAGTTACCGACTTAGTATTACAATTCAGCCCGATATAATAGGGGGACAACCAAGTCATGCCTAAGATTATATCAAGTCAGTCATATATAACATAACCAAATCAACTCAAATCTGAAAATCCATAACCCCAACAGGACAACACGATACATATGGGTCACTATGACTGACTCTTCAACTGGGTAGAAACATGGATGAGGGCATCAAGTATATCAACAAACCACATCAAATCCCAAGGCAATTGAACTGACACATACGAATAAGTAGAATCCGGTTCAAACAAAACAATAGCCATTCGAGTACAGACAAGAGTAGCTCTTGTGACCACTGCATCACACTCTCAAACTCGGTCTTGCCCAAAAAATATAAAACTGAGCCCTGTCCTCTTGACGGGCAACCTCATTGCCTGGTTGCACTACTCCTCTACCTGTATTACCCTTTCCCTCGACCTCCACGACCTCGCTGATTTCCTCCTCATATGCCCAGGTCCTCCACAATTTTAACTGTAACATCCGATAAGTTGAAATAACTATGTAGAGGCTAAAAAAAATAATCGGAAATAGTCATTTTTGAAAAATAATAATTTAAAACCTGGAAATTTGGCTAAGTGTGGAAATCAGTGAGATTTTGGCCAACTTTGAGCGGTCATAACTCTTAGCTCAGGATGAGTTAGGAGTAGTTCCAGTTATGATTGCGAAGCTTGTGGAATGATCTTGCCAACGCCACCGATTTTTCTCGATTCCGAGTTTGTATGAACGAGTTATGCCCTTTGAAAATTGGGCAGTTGGCAGGGAATCCGTCCAGAAATTTTAAGGGCATTTTGGTCTTTTCCCTAGCCATTTCCTTTGGGATTATATTGTTGTGTTAGGCTGATCTTTGGATCATTTTGTCCCATTTTAAAAGAGAAAGAGTTAGGGTTCTTGAGTAAAGAAGAGAAGAAGAAAGAGAAGAAGGAGAAGAAGAAGAGAAGAAAGAGGAGATCAACAAGTTTCCGCCAAAGATCGTCGTGGATATCGTCGGGGGTGATCCCTATCAAGGTATGTGAGTCTTTAGTATGGGTTGATCATTTCCCCCACACACCAAACTCATTATTATTAAGAAAGATTGGATATGTTGTTGAAGCTGTTGGGTTGTGTTGTTGATGTTGTTGATTGTGTTGTTGAAGTTATTGTTGGTTGTGAGACATGATTTGGTTGTGTGTTTGAGTTGAATCTCTTGTATGTTGAGGGATTTTATGATCCTTAGTGTTTGGGATTGGACCCTTTGAAGTTAGGGTGGTTTAGAATTGAAGAAAAGAGGGAGAAAAGTCGGGTTTTCTGGGGAAGGGGACTCTGAAGTCCAGCCCTTGGGGCGGCGCGCCTCTCAGAGCACCAGCAGGTGCCTTCTGAGCTTCAAGGGTTGGCGCTCCGCGCCTTGCAGAGCGCCAAGGACGCCATGTTCCCCCATTCTTTCCATGCTTTCTCATGCATGTTCTTAGGTATTATACCTATGTTTCCTAGTTGTTTCCAACATTCTAAGGTACATTTAGACATCCCGAATTCATCCATAAACATGTGATCATATACCTTGAATCCGTAATTCAATTCAAGGCAAGTTAGGATCGAAATTAATGTGAAGTTAGAGTCAAGTCAAGCAAGGTTTAAAAGTGAGTTCAAGCAAGTTTCTAAAGCTTTTCAAGAGTCATTATAAACGTTTTACCTTCGTTTTAAGGTTCAAGTTTCAAGTCGAGTAAAGAATATAGAGTTCAAGCCAAGTGAAGAGTCTCAAGTTTCAAGTCAAGTCAAGAGCATAAAGTCGAGTCCATTTCTCGAAAGTTATTAGGGAACTATGTATTTCCCAAAGAGGTTTCTAAATGTTTTTACATTTGAGTAAGAAAGGAACATCGATTTCCAAGAGAGCCTTTGGGCTAGATTTTGAGCAATTTTCTCAAACCAAAGAAAGATGTGTTGAAAACACTTACGAGCTAAGTATTTTTGGGAGTAGTCTTGAGCACCGAATTGGGGACACGAGTTCATATAAACTCAACTCTCCATAAGAACCATGTGCTAACATGGGAGTTAACGGGTCATACTTTTTAGATAAATCCGTAAAGTTAAGCTAGTTGATCCACTTGGTAAAGTTAGCTTCCTATATCACGGCAAGGTATATGATGGTCCTTGGGCAACGTGAGGTAAAACGTTGTATCACCACTAAGTTTAATAGTGGTGGTTTGTCGGTTAAAGAAGCTCCCACAGTAGAAAAAGCTTGGTTCCTCGAATAGTTCTGCTTAGTGTGGATGGGGGTATAGGACTTCATTCATACATTGCACAAGTAGACTTTGAGAGGAAGCATGGTATTTTCATGATATTATAAATATGATTTTTACGTCATGTTTTAAAAGTTTTACAAGCTTTATATATTGCATGTGTCTTATTGCTTTATATATTGAGTTCGGTTATTCATGAGTCGAACAGAGCCAAGGTAAGTGTCCTCTTGTACTCTTTTCAAGCTTAAGTTGTGGTTTAGCTTTCCAGCTCGCATACTCATACATTCCATGTACTGATGCCAGTTGGCCTGCATCTTATGACGATGCAGATACAGGTACCCCGGATCAGCATCCTGCACGTCGTTGATCCAACTGAGCACTCCAGAGTCAGTGGTGAGCCTCCTTGCATTCCGGAGGATCAATTATTTTGTGTACCTAGTTTTGTTCTATTAGGATGTTGTGGGGTCTGTCCCAACATCCATCTCAGTATTTTTGAGGCTTCATAGACAGTCAGTCAGTTAGTTTTGAGTCTCTTATCTATGTATATATGTAAATATTCTATTTTGAGACCCGAGGTGCCTTTTTGGCCAGATTTGTATCAGTTAAGTTGTCTTATGACTTTGCTTTGCATGAAGTTATTTTGTTGAGTTAGGTTTCCGCTGAGTTAAAAAAGCCAGGCCAAGGGTTCGCTTGGGGTCAACAATGGTCTCCGAGTGCCGGTCCCGCTCAGGGTGTAGGCTCAGGGCGTGACATTAACACACCTTATAACTTATATTCAATTACCGAACACTGAATTAGATCGCGGGGGTTAGTTCGGGTACGATTCAAGGTCCATAATTGTGACTAGAAAAATAGGGGAAACAGGGTTGAGATTCTGTCTCGCCCTGTCTCGCTTTGGAGGGAGGAATCCCGCACTGGCGGGAAAATTCTAGCCCCAGCGGCCATAACGAAAACAGAATTAACGATTCACTAAAAGAAAAAAAAAGGCATTCCTTTTGAAATGAACTAAAACAGAAAGTAAGCCAAATAAATTGAAACGAATTAAATATAATTTATAGAATTTGTATTTGTTTTTTTTTTTCCGTTGAAGCATATATAACCATTTGTTTTGGAGCAGGAGGAGGTTGATTTCTTGATGCAATTGTTTGAAGAATTCTTTAACGGATTTTTGAGGTACTGCATTTTTCGATTAAAATATACAAATGTCATTATGATAATTGTATGTCTGTATTTTATTATTTGGTAAATGACACATAAAAATGTCGAAATAGCAAAAAGGATAATTAAACATTGTCTTTAGTTAATAGTTTGGTCTAAGAATATATAAATTAAATGAAAAAGGTTTAAAAATTCCCTTGAATAATGTGAAATTGAATACAAATATCTTCGATTAATAGTTTGATCTAAAAATGTCTTTGTCATCAATAGTTTGATCCAAAACGTTCCTATTATTGCTTAATTAGTCAAAAATGCCATTTTCTCAAATAAATATATTGTTTTATTACTTTTTAAACACATTCTTTTCCTAATAATATATTAGCAAATGTTTATCCTATATCAATTTGGAAAATATTAAAGAATAAGAATACTTTCAATTTTGTTAGATTTTTAAAAATATTATTGAAACAAAATTAATGATGAGGTTATTATGATAAAAGCTATATTATCAATTAAAAAGGTGCATGTAGGTATTCTATTTCAATTGATAAAATGAGATTAAAGAAGAAAAATGAGAAGAAAAAACAAGAATAAAGTTCTTTAAAAGTTAATTTTTGTTTAAAAAGAATAGAAAAAAAATATTTATCAGGAAAAGGGAAGGATATTTTTGACCCATTAAGGAATAATAGGGACATTTTTGGTCCATACTATTGATGACAAAGACATTTTTAGATCAAATTATTAACTGAAATATTTTTTCCTCAATTTCACATAGCTCAAAAGTATTTTTGACCATTTACCATAATTAAAAACATATAATGATAAACTAATAAACATCAAATGGTCTAGTGTAGAAATGTTCATACTTCATATCATAGCAAAGATGGGAGTTCAGCCCCAAATGGTGCATTTTATTATGGACTTCTTATGTAACTGTACAAGTAATAAAAAATTTCAACAAACATAGCACTATATGTATATATGCATTGTATTGATATTAAATAAATAGTGTACAATGTGTATACATATGATGTTTAACTGTGTATCATATATATATATATATATATATTCATATACACTGTTTATACATTGTCGTTATATAATAACCACAAAATTCTTTATTTATTATAGCGAATGATTGTTTTAATTTCTCATTGCCCTTACAAATCAATAGGTTTGGAGTGCGAGTGTCTGTTATTGGTTGTAAATCCAACCTTCCAATGACATTACAAAAATGCATAGCATTAACAGAAGAGACTACAAAGGGCTACAAAGGACTTCACCTTGTGATTGCACTAAACTATGGAGGATATTATGACATATTGCAATCAACAAAAAACATTGTCAATAAAGTAATGAATGGTTTATTACATGTAGAAGACATCAACAAGACTTTATTTGAGCAAGAACTTGAAAGCAAGTGTGTAAGTATTCCAAATCCTGATTTACTTATAAGGACAGGAGGTGAACAAAGAGTTAGTAACTTCTTGTTGTGGCAATTGGCTTATACTGAATTCTACTTCACCAACACATTGTTTCCTGATTTTGGAGAGAAAGATCTTAAGAAGGCAATACTTAACTTTCAACAAAGACATAGACGTTTTGGTGGACGCACATATTGAAAACCATTGTTAATTTTTAGACCTAGCCCCTTGTATGTCTTGTTTTATGTGTTTTAGACTACAACAAATAAAAGACTTTTCAGTAACTATTTAGTGGTAGTACTATAATTATTGCTATATATATTTGTAACATCTCGCAACTCTACTATTGTAATTTGAATTTTTCGTTGTAAGTATATAAGCTTGAACAGGGTATTGTCCTACTTGTGCTGATGTGTCAAGGTTCATTCCTATGTGTGAGAAGTGGTTTAGGGTCAAAAGAGACCTCTAGTACTAAGTTGAGTTCAAAACCATCCTATTGGCTAAGTTTCGCATTAGTTCATGCAAGGGTCAACTTAAAACGACCATAACTCTCAACATATAATGAATTAGGTGGCCATGACCTACTAAATTAAAGACCTATGAGTCTTTTTTTGAATGCCACCAAGGTTGTGTCAATAAGTGTTCGGAGTAAAAAGTTATGGTCATTTTATCTGACTACTCCAATAGAGTTTTCAGAGTTTGACAACTACTACGAACTCCATTTACGTATAGTAAATTGAAGTACGGCCCATAGTTTGGACTTGTAAAACAAACTTCAGAAACTGATTTTTCTGGTCTGACTTTCACGGATCCAATTACGGGTCTGTAACGACCTGAGAGCACCCCCTAGTCGTTACCGGCGTATTCGACCTCTCGGAGGTCTTATACAAGCCCTTAGCATTCGTCATTGCATTTATCATAGAAAAATAGCAAAAAATTTAAAACTTTTTCATAATATAATACAAGACTTAGAAAGTCACCTCATTAAAACCTTTAATACAAAATCGGAATACTATGTCTCAAGGTAGCCATCTTAAAACACGACTACAACACAAGAGGGACACAACCCTTACAATACAAAAAAAAACTACTATCTAGTACATTGAACTTAAGGAAACTCTTTAACATAAAGGTCCTTGAATCTTTAAGGACACACCCGAACTTGGGAATAGTAAGCCAAGCTCATCACTTCTAGGAAAGGCCCTTTAGCCACCACCACCTACACTTGGTGTAAAAAGATGAAGAAGAATGGTGTTAGTACAAGAATGCACTAAGTATGATAACCATGCAAAAACATGCTTATAAAAGGGACATTTAGTTGGAAACCATGCATCATGCCTTTTTAGAGAAACTTCAAGAACATTTAGTACAATAGGCACTATATAAACCACATACATCATCATACACATGGAAACCATTCATAATAGCACATCGAGCCACTTATAACATTTTAGGCACATTCAATGCATACAATACATTACCTTCCTCTTTATCTTAACTCCTTTCCTTAAGCAACCCTTAGGGAATACTTGGTGTAATGTATCACCTTAAGGTTACCAAAGGTGAACTTACATATAGCCTTCATCAATCCAACCACATATATTCATAGAGTCATAAGCATACCATAAGAAGTAGTTTTCACATAGGAACCATCACCTAAGACAACCCCCAAGTCACACTAGTGCAATGTGCAAGTAGCATCCCATAATACTACTCACACCAAGTGTTCCTAGGAAGCCACCATAGACTAGGCACATCATATTCAACAAGTCATAACATCTTCATTTAACATTAGACATAAGACCAACATACTTCATTACATCATATAAGGACTCATTCATTTACTACATCATTAGTCATAACCCATTTAGTTCATATCATAGGTAAACCACCCTCACAACCCCTTCACAAACTCACTTGTGCAATGTACACATGGAGTCCCATACCCCCATATATACTAAGCAAATCCATGAAGAAGTCATAAGTATAATTCACATGCATAATCATACTTCATGTCTTGACATAAGTAAAGTCAACCTTAACATGCTTTCATATTAACATACATAGACCATAGTCTTCATTACATAAAGAGCCTAATTATAACCTCCCTTAGAGTCCACTTGTGCAATGCATAAGTAGGGTCCATAGTCCTACCTACACTAAGTAACTCTTCAAGAAATCATGACTAGAGTTCATATTCTTATCTTAGTTCATTTCTTAACTTTCGGGAGACATTGCCATAACCGACAGAGACTATGTGAGCTACATGGAATCCGATGTTCTACTCCCACACCGAAAAGAGAGGGTACTACTTGCCAAGGTAGGACCTACATACATAAGAGCTATCTAGTGGATCCGCTAAGCTAAGACCTACGGGGGCACGTAGTTATGGAACAAGGAGATTGATACTAGAAAACCTTGACTTGCTAGGCGTAGAGGTTTCCATCTAATGAGACAACATCTACGTTGGGAACCCGAACTTGCTAAACGTGAAAGTTCTCTTATGGGAAGCCGAACTTGCTAAACGTGAAGCCCCCACTCTCATTTTTTCATGTTCACTCGGTGCTAAGCTCCAACTCCCTTTTTAAACATCTTTAAGCCTTTATTTAACATTAGTTCATAAAATAGGCATTAGGGACTTAATCCCTCATATCATATAGCTCAAAGGTTCCTAAGATGAGAATGACCTTTCATCATAGAACTACATTATGTGAGAATGTCCTTTCACGTAGTCATACCATATTCATAACATAGTCTAGTTTAGAGTACAATTGAGGAAACCTTTCAAGAGACTCACTTTCACTAGATTATCATAAACCTTATTCATTCATGTATGTGTGTGTATATATGTGAGAAAGCCTTTCACACAAACACCTTTATGCAACACATATTCATACCTTGCTAATCATACACTTTGCAGGCATAATAATATGTAAGGGTGCATATAAGAGTTAACCTTTCAATAGACACCATAACACATCATATTCATAACTATACATGTAGAGTGTGTGTGTGTACATATTGGTCCTCATAGTGACATAATAGCAACAACATTGATACTGAGTGCACTTCCCTTCACAATGTCCCAAAATCATAAGCAATTCACATATAAAGCCTTTAGGGATTCTAGACCACACACCCACACTTCATCATAGGAGAGAAGGACACATTCAACATTGAATAGGTACTCCTAACATGTATATGATCACACATTCATATAGGTAGGGTTCATTCCACAATAGTACTTAACATAATCAATCATGTAGACCACACCTTATCCCTAACATTATCATTCACATTATACTCCTCATCATCAGCACACTTTAAACATCATGCTAGCATTGAGGATTTCATACATAACCTTTATAGCACAACTTCATAAACATATGTATTATAATCATCAATTCACTTCACATCTATTGCCTTCAAGGCCATGATCTCAACATGCATAGATAGACAAGAAGTAAACACCGCCACCATAATTGGGTCAAACTACACAACATCAATTCCCATACTATAGACTAGAAGTTAGGTCAACTTACCAATTCTCCAACCCATGATCACCATGGATCAATCCTCAACAATTCATAATCAATTGACATAGATAGCAATAGGAATCAACAATGTAATTCAATAACATAAACATAATCTAAGTACAATTCTATAAACAAAGGGATCAACCCATAACTTTGCCCATAAGGCCATAATTCTCAACTCATCAATATACCAACAATTCAACATGAATAAGTATAGATAATCATAGGAAACATCAATATAATCTAATCTAAACATAATTTCACCAGTAGAAATCATATTCACAAAGACCCACATCATAGGCCAATTTTTGATAATTTAGGGATCATGGGTTCTTCAAGAATTCCTTTGAAAATTATCTTAAAAACCTTAATTCCACATTAATTCATCAATATAATGATTTAGAAAATCGTTTGACAAGAGACCCATATTTAGATTGAAAATTGGGAATTTTGGTCTTTGAATCACTTTTGAAAATCTTTGATAGAACTTCTTGAATGAGAGGTTATTCAAGAATCAAGAGTTACCATACCTTAATTATTGAAGACCCATGAAATTGAAGAAGAAATCAGTTGAAAACCCATCTTATAGCTTGAGCTTCATCAAGGTCTTCAATGGAGTTTTTGAGAGAATCTATTTTTGAGAGGGAAGGGTCAATTTGAAGAATGGGGTCTAATTCTAGGTTTTGGGGTTTTAACCAACTTAAAATACCCTAAAATAGGTAGAATAACCGTTTATAATAATTCCCCAAAGTACCCAAACTACCCCTCACTTAGTTGGACCTTTTAAACAAGTCAAACTTGAGTTTTATTTTCGCAGATTTCGTCGGGAATCAAGTTCGCGACACAGAGGTTTTCCCACAAGTTTCATAAATTAAATTTCGAGACAGTAGAGTCCGCGACATGTCCGCGATGCAGACCAAACTTTTGGCCCTTGGTGGAGCTAGTCCGCGACGTAGACATGCTCCCTCAATGAGCAAACTTCAAGCTGCCTTGGCAACTTGTTTGGCCAAGGGTTGGGGTCCTCCTCGGGGACCCTTAGGGTGGTCCCGGGGAGTCGTACACGAACGTTTTGACCCTAAAAACATTTATTAAGACACTAGGGTCACCTCCACTGATTTTTGACTCCAAACAACAGATAAAAACATGAACAACATACTAGAACACATCAACACGTAAAAGACTAGTTTCTAAACGTCTTGGTCATCCCTTGACGTTTAACTTCCAAACTCTTTAAAACTGACTAAAAGGCTATTCTTCATTATTTTAACAAGTTATTAATGCATAAAACCCATGTAAGGCTCTACTTTATCCACTTCATTTTGAGGGGTGTTACAGGGTTGTAAGTCCATCTTTGGGCGGTAACTTGGACACGTAAATTGAAGTTTAGAAACTTGTTTTTGGCCCGATTTTCACATATCTTATTATGAATCGTAAACCCAACTACAAGCTGTAATTTGGGTTCGTAGAATGAATTTTAGAAACTCAAAATTGCATCCTAACTTTCACGGATGGGATCTACAGTTCGTAGATCAAACCACGGGCCATAGATGACCCTTGTTAAAGGTTTCTTACAACTTTTTAATTGAGGTTGTTTTGGTATTTTCACATCCTTATTAATCTAAGACACAGCGCTTTAACTTCTATTAGGGAAATATATTTCATCAAGTAGTCAATTTTTTTTTCTCGTATACGCTCTCAACCCCCCCTCCTCCTAAAATCGGAAAAACAAACCACAAGAAAAGCAAAGCTAGGG